AAGCATTCTCACTATGGTGCTCCTGAAATATCTGCAATTTTAATATGGGAGCTGAAATTCAACTATTTGAGGGGCAGCATAAATGGCAAGGTTGAATTAGGTCTTATACAAATCCTTAATAGTAACACATCTGCATCTTTTCTCCTTGATATTATATAGTAAACACTATTTGAATGAGGTAATTAAGAGTCATTTCACCATATAAATGCTAACTGGAATTTTATGAAAAGTAAATATCCTAAAGCATTCCTGTTAAACAGGTTAATAAATAGTAGACATGCAACAGTCTTTGTTTCTAGCCTTCTAGCATTCTGCAGATCCATTTGCATTTCCAGTCCAAATAAGTGAGACCTTCAAAGTTGATAGAAAAGCTTTGTGCTGAAACAAGTGAGGTAGCAGCCTAGTAGAGGAATAAGAAAGCATACTGTTTGCTGTAATCTTGGGCAATTTGAAGTGAAATAGATGAATTTCTTTTCTTCATTTAAAGCTGAGAAAAAAAGGGGGAAGGGCTAGTTAAAGAAATCTGCATACAAATTCTTTCAACAATACTTAGTAATTTCCTCTAAGCTCTTCTGGAAGTACTTAAGTAAAATATTAAGTAAGACAGTGCAGAAGTCAATGGCTGTTGAATTCTCATAGGAGAGGTGCAAATAGGACCCATAGGAGCCTTTGAAACCAATTAATGGTAACTTATCAGCATTAATCACATCACGGATCAAAAGTAAATACAAATCACTAGTTAAGAAGCATTGCTAATAAAGAGGATTGTATTTCTTGGCCTTCGGTCCCAGGTAAGGAAAACAGAAAACGAGATTAACACTTATAACTTGTTGACAAGACTCCATCAAATATTGTACTGGAACTCACCAGCAATCATATACATTCCTAACACAATTACTGGAAGCAAGATTAAGAAAAGTGGTGCTAGATAAATGGCTTATAAAAATGTTATATCATGAGAGTATTTTTTGCTTTTCTTTAACAATGTTATCACTGTTGACTAGACATTCCAACATATTTTGTTTCATATAAGATGACTTGAGACAGCCAGTTTGGTGTTGTGGTTAAGTTATCAAGTTGGAAAGAAAGTTGGTTCTAATCCTGCTTTAGGCATGAAGCTAACTGGATGACCTTGGACCAATCTTTCTCTCTCTCAACTCTTGGAAGGAGGCAATAGCAAACCATTTCCAAAAAAAACCTTGCCAAGAAAACTACAAGGACTAGTTAAGAGAGAGTAAACAATGATTTGAAGGCACAAAAAAGAGGTATACTGCTTGACTTAATAATAGCAGTGGACTTATATACCGCTTCATAGGGCTTTCAGCCCTCTCTAAGCGGTTTACAGAGAGTT